CGTGCGCGTGGCGTGGTGTGGTCGCCGGGGCCGTGTGCGTTGGTGCAGTGCCCGGAGTCTATCGTTTCGTGTTCATCTGGGAGTAAGCGTCGTGCGTGCGTGCGTGCATTGCTGCAGTGCGCGGTTGCCATGAGTCCTATCCGTTCGTTTTCATGTGAGACGTGTGCGTGTGCGTGTGCGTGTGCGTGTGCGTGTGCGTGTGCGTGTGCGTGTGCGTGTGCGTGTGCGTGTGCGTGTGCCGTGAGTCTATCGATTCGTTTCATCGTGGGGATGTGCGTGCGTGCGTGCATGCGCGTGCGCGTGTGCGTGTGCGTGTGCATGTGCCGTGAGTCTATCCGTTCGTTTCATCGTGGGGATGTGCGTGCGTGCATGCGCGTGCGCGTGTTCGTGTGCGTGTACGTGTGCGTGTGGGTGTGTGCATGTGCCGTGAGTCTATCCGTTCGTTTCATCGTGGGGATGTGCGTGCGTGCGTGCGTGCATGCGCGTGCGCGTGTGCGTGTGCATGTGCCGTGAGTCTATCCGTTCGTTTCATCGTGGGGATGTGCGTGCGTGCGTGCGTGCGTGCGTGCATGCGCGTGTGCGTGGGCTCGCTAGATTATTTAGCCGCCGGTGAGTTATCGGGATGTTTTTGAAGTAAGGAATTGACATAATAGCCTCAGCATCTTTATCGGGCCTTCAGATAGGCCTACTCTGTCCGCGGCTTTGTAATTGGCCGATCGATGGACAAACGACGGCATAAATCAGCCGCCGTTCGACGCCGCCGTCATCCTACTAAACCCACGAAATTTCGACGCTCAGAAATTCAGCGGACAGATATTGCGACGTATTAAAGCAATTCTGTTCGGCCGTCATTCTCACCCACAGAACAATCCGTTGTCAGCATTGCAAGTTAATATATAATACACGCGGGGCGCTCACCGTGGCGCGCGCTAGGTAATTTGATGACTGATTGAACAACAGCTAATCACTGCTGCCCACACACACGCGCGCGGAGGATAACGAGGGCTACTGCATGTGCTGTCTTCTGCGCGTAGTCGCATCACGGTCGTATTGCCGCCCACGTGCGTGTGTGCCGGCCCGTCTAGCGCTCATATAGCCGCGATTCTCGTTCGCTGCACTCGCTGCCGAATTATCAGTCGCTATACGTGACAGCCATAGCGCGGGTGTAGTGAGTGTCACAGGTGTGTGACGCAGGTTTGTCAGCCGTGCGTAGCAACGAAAGTGTCGCGCCAGACGTCAATTTTACGTCTGCGATTCGCGTTCCGCCACAATCATTAGCATTGTGCGCGCATACAAAGACGAGACACGTGGTCACGGAAATAATTCTGTATCGACTTCACTTTTGGTTTCGAATATCGATATTCCTAAAAGGTATAACGTGTGGAATTGTGTATGCAAAGACGAAATGCTATCAATTGATTCCGTATCGAACGCTCTTGATTTCCAATATCGATTGCCACGAAAGTGTAATGTATAAATCTTTCGCGCGCCTCGCTATGTAGATACTTACTGGAACCGCCCGTTATGTTCGTCTGCAACAGTTGCTTGGCTTTGATGACGTCTACGTTTAATCTGCCGGCGCTGGGTAGGTAATAGATCGACAGCAGTATCTCTCCTAGCTCCGGATTCTCCTGAAGAAATAAGCAGAATGAATGCATCCCTCGCCGCCTCGCGCCGCAGGATTAACGCATGCGATTATAATGGGTCGACGCCTTCGCGGGCAGGCGTGCGTGCGTGCATCGCGTGCGGTGACGAGAGACCCACTCGCGTGTCTATCGCCACCGTGTATATCATAAGCGCTTACGTACATTAACGCGCAGCCGCCTAGCTAGCACTCGCTAAAAATCTATCTGTCAAACCGAAGCCCGCTGAATACGTGTGTACGTGTCTGGAGCTGACACGTACACGCAAGCCGTCGTCAGCACAGCGTAATGACGTAAAACAGCGAGCGGTCGCAGCGCTAACGACGCCCGCGGCGGCGGCTGTACGGAGGCACGGGCCTCCTTAACCTCGTGATTGCACTCATCGCGCGCTGCCACTCGGCCTGTCGTACATGTCCGCGGTAGCAGCTGGTTTCATCACGAAGGAAAAATATCTGCGAGCGTGGTCGCCTATAATATAAAGTGGCGAAAGTTAACGGCGAGCGGTGAGGGGGTCACCGTGAAGAGGTGTGGGGGTTATTACGATGACGTGATGAAGCCACAGCTAGAGTCACCGCGAGGAAGCGACGGATGATGATGAGGGGGCGATGAGTCAATATTCTCACCATCCATCCATCCTCCATCCATCCAGCCAGCCATCCATCCATATATCCATCCATCTATCAATCCATCCATCCATCCATCCATCCATCCATCCATCCATCCATC